CGGGGCGGGTGATGAAGGAGGATGAGGGACGTGTGGGGCGGACGGGAGCCCCAGGAACGGCTCAGTGCCCAGCCAGCCCCTCGCGGGATGCCCCAGGGCGTGGGCGGTGGCCCCGGGCGGCTGTGTGTAGGGGCTGAGCTTGGAGGGGCCTGCTGGTCTGCCTGGGCAGGCGATGCTCTGCTGGAGCAGCCGAGGCAGCCCTGGGGGCCAGGCCCGGGTCTGGCCCGGGGAGTGGAGCAGTCACAGCCAGGGCTGGTCACCCAGTGGGGCAGCGGCTGGTGCTGGGCGGGAGGTCAGCCCCGAGCAGGCCTGGTCCCGCCTGGCAGAGAGGCCTGTGCATCTGCTCCTGCGGCGGCCCCAGGCGGCAGCCCGAACTCCGACCCCACCACACCTGGCTTCCCTGGAGCCCCCAAGGCCCCGGCCCCGCCCGCCCCCGGGAGGCCTGCTCCCTGGTCCTCCGGGCCCCAGGGCCGTGTGTCTGCAGAGCAGGACTCCAGGGCGTCTGGGGCCTGCCGAACCCCGCTTGGCGCGCAAACGACGACCCCCCCCCAGAGCCAAGGAGGCGAGGCCGCGGTACCTTTCCCCTCCTGCGTCCAAGTGCTGCTTTTCGAACTCCCAGTTTTTGTTAGGGGCATAATCCCATTCTACCTCCTCCACGGCGATGTAAAAGGTTCTTATCATCCCGTACGGCTGCTCGGGGGGGTCCTTGTTGCCGCAGCTGGTGACCTCGTAGAGCTGGTTCATGCCTCGCGCGAAGTGGTGCAAGGTGGAGCAGAACACCCTGAAGAGGCCTGCAAGAGAGACCGTCGCTGCCGCCGCCCGCCGGCCCGCGCCCGACCCCAGGCAGGTGCCAGGGAGGTGGGCCGGCGGGGAGATGCCACCTCGTGTTTCAAAGTCACACCCCACGGGGGGCCCTTCGCTTGGAGTATATTCCCTTGTGGAAAACAACAGCCTGAGATTCATTTGAAATGAAAAATTAAAACTGGCAGGCTCGCCGCCAAGAAACGCCCTCTCTGCGAGTTCCCTGCCGAACGCATCGGCCAGCAAAGCTCGGCCCCGGAAGTCGCCGGCGGGGGGCTGGCCGGGAGGCTGGGGGGCTATCTCAGCCCAGCCCAACTGAAAAAGAACCAATTCCCTGGAAGAGTCATCGCCCCGACAAAGTTCAAATTGGGCCACTCGTACGCAGTCGTGCATTTCGCCCTGAAGGAGTCGTGAACTGGACGGAGCAGCGCGCACAGGCACGGCCACCCGGAGCCGACGGCGACCTCGCCCGGGAGCCGAGGAGGCTCTCGCCACCCACGGCAGGTCAACAGGCGCCCGGCGGAAAGGAAAGTAAACCGACGTGCCCTCACGGCGACGGGCACAGCCGAGAGAGAGTCGGGCCATTTTAAGGAGAAACTCTCTGGGGAGCGGGCGCAGGCAGGTGGGTCTTCGCTGGCTCAGGGAGACACGAGGTGGCGGGGACGGGGGCGGTGGGTCGGGCGTCCGCGCGGGCTCAGTCTCCAGAGCTGCCCCGGCAGAGGCGGCCCCCACCAGCCACCCGCGGCTCCGCCAGCTGCCCCTGAAGGGCCCGTGGCGCCCAGGACCCGGCTGTCGCGGCCACGCAGGGAGGGGTCTCGGGAACCGGGAGGAGCTCTCTGGAGACAGCGTGGAAGGCTCCCCGCGGCCCCTCCTGGGCCAGGCCTCCCGCGCTTCAGCAGTGGAGGGGCCGCCTCCTGGAGGACCAGGGGGTGTGGGGCCTTGACAGCGGCGACGCCTGCACGGAAGCACCTGCACCCCAAGCTCGTGCACCTGCACAAAGGCTCCGCGTCCCTCAGAGCCTGGCTTTGCAGCAGAGAGAACATGTGTCTTGGTGCTGAGCCTGCCGGGCCCGTGTTCCAGCTCACGGCAGGCTGGCGGGGCTGCGGCAGCGTCAGGGACACATGAGCTCCGGGCCTCCCGTGGCCGCGCCACACTCACCTGCACGGTCCGGCTGCATGAAGGCCGTGGTGGAGACGTGCGGGAACAGGGCCAGGCTGTCGCGGTGGGTGCCCCGGAGATGCAGGGTGTTCCCTTGGAAGTAGACCCCGTGCATGTCGGTGTCGGTGCCCATCCCCACCAGGTGCCAGGACACCCTGTCATTCCTGCACATCTGGAGGCCAGGCTGGTTGCCGTACATGTAGCCGTTGACGGCTGCAGGGAGGAGAGAGACGGTCAGGCCCAAGCATCACGGGGGCACGCAAGGGACGCGTGCAGGGCAGGGGCCGGGGACAGGCCTGTGGGGAGCCCTGTCCTCAGAGGCCAGGTTGCCCTGGGAGCCTCTCAGCGGCCACTTATAACGGAGGCGCCGCTCACAGGAGCACTGAACATGCACCACTGCGCCATGTCCAAGCCACCTGCTCAGGCTGCTGGCTCGGCTTGAGCAAGGCGCCCGGTCTCTGACGAGATGGCTTGACGGCGCGGGACGGCCCCCCTGCCCTTGTGCACTGCTGCTGCCCGGGCTCCCCCGAGCGCTCCCAGCACCCCGCACAGCTGTCCCCCTCGAGGGTCTCTCCTGCCAGCTCCCCAGCTGCGGGGCTCGATCTCGTGGCCAGCGAGTCTGCGGGTGGCTCTGGGTCGGGTGCAGAGGCCGGCAGGTGACCACGGAGCGGCTGCTGTCTGCTGGCTGCTGGGGCGGGGGGCGGGGTGTTTACAAGAGGCTTTCCAGGAGATGGCTCTGCCCTGCGATGACGCTTATCTGCCCGTCCTGATAAAGCGACCGGAGGGGCTCTGGATAGTGACTCTACGGGAGGCCTTGGTCTCCAGAAACGCCTTCGCCGCAGTCCGCTGACCGACAGGGGCGCCTGGGGCTGACCTTGAGGGCGGCCCCCACAGGTGCCGTCTGCAGGGCCCTCAGCAGGGACGGGCCCCCATGCTGCACCTCCCCCTGCAGTGACCCTTAGGGCTAATGGCTTGCGCCACGGTCCCTAGGTCCGGCTGGGCAACCAGTGCGCAGGCGGAGAACAGCAAAACCCCCTGAAGATATACTTGCTGCACCTCCTCCTGCAGTGACCTCTAGGAATCCCTAGGTCCGGCTGGGCAACCAGCGCGCAGGAGGAGAACAGCAAAAAACCGCCTGAAGACATAGATAAGACGGAAGCCTGTTGAAAGATAACGACCACCAGAAGCCACTACAGGAATGCTGTCCGCTGGGAAACTTATCTCACCTTCTCTAGACCCACAAACTTTATTCTAATACAACTGTCTCTCTAAAATCTTTTCTCTTTCTCTGTTTAAAAGGTCATTGGTTTGCCGATTAAAAAAGAACATACAAAATCTAATAACTAGGCTGATTCAAATGAAACGTTACTAAACTCTGTGTATTAATAGAACTGCTAGCTTAATAATTTCTCTGTTGTATACTTAGCCTTGTTAGTATTAATCTAAATGATAAAAATATTACATTGTGAAAAGTAAAATTCACCCGTGTTAATTAATAGTAATAGTGAGTAGTTAAAACAAAAAGTAATCATATAAAACAAAAAGAAAAATGAATAGCCTAACTACTTAGGAATGCGCCTGGGTCCAGATGTAAATCACTGCCCTGTCAAAGATAAGCTAAACCTATAAGCAAGCTGATTTCTTCACTGATGTTCGCCATTCCTATGCTTTTAGAAAACATATATATACTGGTCACCAACTCAAATAAAATTACACTCAGATTTTCACTCTTGAAGTGTGTCTGTTTGTCATTTCTTTAACCGAATCCCTGACCACCCTGCGCAGTCTCTCAACCCTGAGACGGCCTCATCGTCTACTGCTGTGCTGGTCCGCGGCAGGTGGCGCCTGAACGGGGGGCCCCGAATTCAAATATTGCTGAGTTTTTCCACCCAAAGAGAGGTGAGTAACGAAGAGATTGCGTTTGGGTAAGCTATCTCCCTTCTTGTGTGTGAGTGTGAATGTGATTCCCTAAAAAATACCCTCTTTAAAAGTCAGGGATAGGATCCTCACTGAAGCGTCCGGAGCTTGCTGATAAAGGGTGATCAGTTTGAAATAGTGAGAAGTTTTTCTAAGAGTGAATGCTCGTGGTGCTGTGTGTGTGTGAGAGTGCATGAATACGGCTCCACGGCCTCGTAGCTACGGAGTCTGAGTGGGCTGCACCCGCGATTCCCGTGGAGGAACGTCATATGGCATAACGGTCATCTGCTCTTCGGAGTAGCCTGGTCCGGGACTTATACGGACAGACCTTAGCTAAGACGCCTCCGCAAGTTCCCGCGAGGGACACGGGCGGGCGGACAGCACAGTTGAAAGAAATCTCTGCTTGAGTGAACGAAAGCACCACGAGACCATGGGTCAACAGCAGACCAAAAATAGAGATCTTTTTCTATCTATATTAAAAAATATGATTGAAACACGAGGTATTAAAGTAAATAAAAAAGCTCTACTGAAACTTTATGAATTCATATTACGGGTATGCCCGTGGTTTCCAGAAGAAGGCAGTCTGTCACTGGAAACTTGGAAGAAAGTAGAAAAAGAAGTGAGAGAGTTTTATGGCCTTCATGGACCGTCTCAGGTTCCGAAACAGGCTTTGTCTTTGTGGGTACAAGTTAAAGATCTGCTGGTTGATGCCACTGACGCAGAATTGTGGGAAGGCCAACAGGATGAAGTTCAGGATAATCTTAAAAAACAATAATGATCCAAACACGTCATTATTCGCTCAAGCCTCTGCTCCCGTATTGAAGGAATCCCTTTCCCAGTCAGAGGATGAGTTTAATGATCATGAATATACTGAAATGCTAGATAAATTGACTTTCAAAAATGATAAACCCTCCCGCCCAACCGCTAACCTTTTTCCAGTTGTTACCAAACCTACAATTGCATTAGATAATAATCCTAATCATATCAAGGCCCATCGAGGGCCGCTGGGTGGCATTCTAGGATCAGCAAGGGAGGCCAGTAAGACGGGAATCTTGGATGAGGTGCATGCTCTTCTTCGTCCTAAACGTTTTATTGTTGCTCTTATTCTTGGTATTGCTGCATTAATTTCCTTAGTTACCTCTTTAGCTGCTTCCTCTGTTGCTTTAATTCAGGAAGCTAAGACAGCTTCTTTTGTGAATGACCTTACCAAAAATGTGTCCATGGCGCTCTCTACACAGCGGGACATTGACTACAAGTTGGAAAGAAAGTTAAATGCTCTGGAAAAAATTGTTATTGCTATTGGCGATGAGGTTCAACTCCTCAAACAACTGTCTACTCGATGCCATGCTCAGTTTCGTTTCATTTGCGTTACGCCTCTGCGTTATAACTCTTCCTTACATTGTAATCTTACCAAACATCACCTATTGGGTATCTGGCGTAACAATGACCTTTCTCATGACCTCTCGTCTCTCCAATCTGAAATCTCTGCTGTCAGTAAATCTCATCTGGATACTTCAGTCTCTTCCTTTGCTCATTCTCTAGCTTCTACTCTCCAATCTTTGACTCCTACTCACTGGTATCATCTTGTTCTTTCCTTCATTGCTCTTTCCCTACTTGTCCTTCTCCTTGTCTTTTAACTCCCCTCTGTGTCCGCTCACTTCACAGGTCGATCTACCGCCTTCAACGTGACATGTACGCCTACCAACTCCGTTTTAAAAAAAACAAAGGAGGACCTGCTGCACCTCCCCCTGCAGTGACCCTTAGGGCTAATGGCTTGCGCCACGGTCCCTAGGTCCGGCTGGGCAACCAGCGCGCAGGCGGAGAACAGCAAAACCCCCTGAAGATATACTTGCTGCACCTCCTCCTGCAGTGACCTCTAGGAATCCCTAGGTCCGGCTGGGCAACCAGCGCGCAGGAGGAGAACAGCAAAAAACCGCCTGAAGACATAGATAAGACGGAAGCCTGTTGAAAGATAACGACCACCAGAAGCCACTACAGGAATGCTGTCCGCTGGGAAACTTATCTCACCTTCTCTAGACCCACAAACTTTATTCTAATACAACTGTCTCTCTAAAATCTTTTCTCTTTCTCTGTTTAAAAGGTCATTGGTTTGCCGATTAAAAAAGAACATACAAAATCATAACTAGGCTGATTCAAATGAAACGTTACTAAACTCTGTGTATTAATAGAACTGCTAGCTTAATAATTTCTCTGTTGTATACTTAGCCTTGTTAGTATTAATCTAAATGATAAAAATATTACATTGTGAAAAGTAAAATTCACCCGTGTTAATTAATAGTAATAGTGAGTAGTTAAAACAAAAAGTAATCATATAAAACAAAAAGAAAAATGAATAGCCTAACTACTTAGGAATGCGCCTGGGTCCAGATGTAAATCACTGCCCTGTCAATGATAAGCTAAACCTATAAGCAAGCTGATTTCTTCACTGATGTTCGCCATTCCTATGCTTTTAGAAAACATATATATACTGGTCACCAACTCAAATAAAATTACACTCAGATTTTCACTCTTGAAGTGTGTCTGTTTGTCATTTCTTTAATCGAATCCCTGACCACCCTGCGCAGTCTCTCAACCCTGAGACGGCCTCATCGTCTACTGCTGTGCTGGTCCGCGGCACCCCCACCCGATGCCGAGCGTGGAGAGGACGGCGCAGGGTGTGGACCTGCCAGCACCCAGGCCAGCACGGTGCCTTCCCGCTGTGTCGGGAGCCAGCGGGGCTGGGGTCTTGCTTGAGCATCAAGCTGCCTGCTGGAGCGTCCAGGAGACCCTGGGACGTTAGACAAGAGCGGCCTATTTTCTGAAAACCCTTTGCTCAGGCTTTGGTCAGTGCACGACCTGAGGCTTGTCCACTGACCGCAGACGCGACCCGACGCTCTGCGATGGGGGCTCGAGTCGGGCACTGGGCCGGGCTCTGGGCTGCCTGTGTGGGCCTGGGGCTTGCTGGGGGAGGACAGCGCTTGGGGGCGCGTGTGCCACCCCCGTGTCTTCAAGGCCATGCCCATGGGATGCTCCGTCCTGGACCCGCCCGCCCAGCGATGGTCTCCAGCTCACCGGCCGCTCCTGGGCTGGTCTATGCGCCCTGCGGGGTTGGACCCCGGGCTCTGGCAGGGCAGGAGACCCCCGCGTGGGCTGTGGCGCCGCGTGGAGCCGAGGGGCAAGGGTGCCGCGCTTCAGCCCCGGTTAGCCCCAGCAGCCGCCCACACTGCCTGCGGCGGCCTGCACAGCCCGCAGTCGTCAGGCGACCCCGAGGGGTGTTTGTCGTCACTGTCTAACCCGCCCTGTGCCGTGACCGCCTCCGGGCTGGCCCCACGTCCATCTAGGGCTGGCCCCACGGCACAGCATCGCTGGGACACGAGGAGGTTTCACCAGACCTTGAGCGTCTTACAGCCAAGAACAAATCCCAAGCGGCCAGCCCTGGGGCGGTGGAGACCCCGCGCCCGCCGCCCTGGCGCCACGTCGGACGTGGGCTTCCTACCGTGCATGCGGTTGGACTTCACGAAGGCCTTGTCCTCCTTGTCGACACTGAGGGGGCGCCGGGTGAACTTCTGGATGTTCTCATCGAGGTACTGGCTCAGGTTCTCATCGAAGACTGTGAAGAGCAGGTGGAACTCCTTGTCTATCTCCTTCTGGAGAGCGGAGAGGGAGGATGCCTCAGAGCACAGCCGGGGGGTTCTGAGTCCTGCTCCGCTTTCAAAGGGGACTCGGGCTAGCGCAGGAGCCTTGCGGGGTCCGAGCACGATGCGGTCGGCGTGACCCGCACCGACGCGTGTCCCCGCCCACCCGCGTGTGGATGTGCACGGCAGGGCTGGCTGGTCACTCAGTGGGGCCAGGGAGGGCCCCACTTTAATGCTGGAGAGACACCCAGAGACGTCGGGCCTGTCAGTGGGCACAGCCACCCAGGCAGGGCCCCGGGAGCCCCTGTTCTCCTTCCAGGACGCCCCACGGCTGCTGCTAACGCCTGAGCCCAGGAAAGACAGCGCCAGGAAACCTTAGCTGCCCTGTCGCACCCACTCGAAGGGACCTTGGGGTTTGCTGCAGGCGGCCAGGGTCGCGGCCAGCCAAGCACCGCTCACAGCCAGCCCCCTCGGGACTCGGGACAGGCACGGCGGCCAGAAACACGGGGCTGTGCTGAGAGGGGCTCTCGCTGGCCAGACAGAAAGTTATCTTCAATGCAAGAAATACTCTGAAATTCGCATGAAGCCAGGCCCTCAGGAGCACGAGCCGGGCCTCCCCAGCAGGCAGAGAGCCCGGTGGGCGTCCACGCACATCTCGGGAGACCCCAGCATCAAAGCCAAGCCCAGGGAGCGCCCCCGGACCCGCTGCCGCCAGAGGAAATCCTGGGCTCCTGACGGGCATCTGCAGCTGGAACCTGCCAAATCAAGCTCCCCTGATGCAGAGAGCGGACTCGGCGGGCTGTGTCCGGCTCACCTGCATGGCCCCGGAGGGAGGCGCCCGTGCCTACCTGCGTGCCGTCCGCGTTGAGCGCCCCCTTCCTGCAGAGCAGCAAGGGCCCCACCAGGCCGGAGCTGGTGTCCTTGATGGGGTCGACCGCCGAGAAGTAGAGGTAGGTCAGGCATGGGGGGTCGTCGGCCGTGGGGCCCACGCTCTCGGGCACCGTCCACCTGTACACGAAGGTCTCCCCTGGCTTCACGTGTGCGCCCGGCTTCAGGAAGCCTGAGGGGGGAGGCAGTGCTTCGCACCGGGCAGGGCAGTGGCTATGTCTCGGCGCGGCCCCCCTATGCGCGCTCTGGGGCGGTGCTGCCGCACGGGACAGCACAGACCACCTCGCTGTCCTCACGCTCCCTGATGCCACGCGGCACACGTGTCGGGAGCCACGGCTGCCCAGTCGCCATCTGCAAGTCCCCGAGACGTCCGAGCGGCCTGTGGAGCTCGCGCCCGGCCCTGCAGAGGACACCCAGGAAGGCCAGACGGGCCACGCTCTGAGGTGTCCGGAATCTGAGAGGCGGAATGAGGACGTGGCCACTCCCTGGGTCACCAGGCTGTGCGTGGCTGCTGGAGGACTCACACTAGGGCTGTGCCAGGATGGTGCCCGAGCCCCGCGCGGCCTGGCAAGAGAACCCGGAGCCTCTCCAGCCCCACGGGCAGACGCGCTGGGGCCTGAGCACGCCTTACCTGCGGGCGCCCAAGCCTGCCCCGAGACACCCCGGGGCCAGGCCCTGTCCTGACCGCCTCCTCCCGCAGCCCGTGTCCCTGCCCGCACGTACGGGGGTGACAGGGAGTTCTCAGCCCTCACCTGCCCACCCGGCACAGGCTGGACTCACCGTCCATGTTGGGGGCCGCATCGGACGCCTTGTCGTACATCACGCCGTGGGGCAGGACGCTGTAGGCCCTGTCCGCCCTGTTGGCGAAGGTCACCAGCAGGGTGTCGCCCACCTCCGCCCTGATGACGGGGCCTGGAGGGAGCGGGGGCGGGGTGAGGGGTGAGAAGGCGCAGCGTGGGGCTGGGGCCCCGCGGGCCGCCCCCCCGACGCGCGTGGGCCACTCTACCCAGAATTCCGAGGTGGGCGTCCGCCTCCGAGAGGCGCTTTCTTTGCGTGAACGACGCGTCCGTGTACTCCGTGTACCGGGCCTTCCAGTACCTCCCGCCTATCCTGGAGTCCCCTTGCGTGAAGTAGAGCTCGGAGTCGCTGAGGGGAGAGGGTCTGGCTGAGCGCACCCGCCCTGGTCCCGGCCCGCACCGCCCGCGCCCGGCCAGCCCAGCGGGCTCGGAGCTGGGTGACCTGAGCTCCCCACCCGGAGGGCCGGCAGACGCCTGCGCCCCCGGGAACCCCCCGGCCCACAAGGTCGCGGAGGGCAGAGCGCACCCCGCAGCGCCAGCCCCCGAGTGCGGCCAGTGGCGGGGCGGCCAGGCTGGGCGCGCAGTAGGCACTTTGACGCCGGCAAGGGCGCGGAGCGCGGGTCGGGTCCGTCTGTAGTGAGGGCAGGGACTGCGCATGAAATGCCAGGGCAGGGGACGGGACGGCCCGGCGGGCGCCACCTCGACACAGCGTCCCTCGGGCCCGGCCAGCGGCGGTCGGCTGCTCCTTCCTGTGTCGGCGCCTTTCCCTGACCTTTGAACCCCCCTTTCTGCGCCCTTTGGCCTCTGTTCTCCCTCCTCCCGCCGCCGGCACAGCGCAGGCCCTGCTGGCCTCGTGCCCCTGCGCCCCCACCACAAGAGCCGCTGGGGGCCCCACTGCAGCTCCTGGCCTGTCCAGAGCGCCCCGCTGCCCATGGCGCCGCTGCCCGCCCCCGAGCCCCAACTCAGCCCTGGCGAGCGCACTCACTGCAGGGTGGGCCTCTGCGCCCAACACCGGCGTCCGTCCACCAGTGCCCAGGGCGGACGGATGAGTGAGGGGTCTTGCGAGTCATCCCCAGCACCCTCAGGCCCTCAGGCCCAAGCAACCCGCAGGTAGCAGCGGGGAGGCTCCCGGCCCCACCCCTCCAACCCCGCCCCAGGCCCCCTCCTGGCCCCCTTCCTGGGCCCCTCTTGGCCCCCCTCCAGGCCACCCTCCAGGCCACCCCTCCAGGCCCCCTCCAGGCCACCCCTCCAGGCCACCCCTCCGGACCACACCCCTCCAGGTCACGCCCTCCGGCCACGCCCCCATCCGGCCACGCCTCCGGTCTGAGGTTCTGCAGTCAGGTCCTGCGAGCCGCGGTCAGACCTGGGGCGCCACACACTGTGGGCCCCGAGGGGCAATGCGGACTCGGGGGTCCAGGGAGGCCTACCCCGAAGGTGACCTCAGAGCAGGACCGGGAAGGTCAGGGTCAGGGAGGAGGGGCCAGTCTGGAGAGAGGCCTCCCTCTGCACCAGACAATCCGTGGGCGCAGATAGGCGACCTCAGGGCCAGCTCACCCCGCCTTTCCTGGCAGGCCTGCCCGCCCCCTCCCCCGCTGGCCGCGGCCGGCTGGTCGCCATGGGACGATACCCCAGCACCCAGCACTGCCGCTTGCGCCCAGCAGCCGCTCAACAAAGTCCGGCGACAAGCGTGGCCCAGGCGGTGGGCGCGTCTCCCCCCTGCCCCGTCCCTGCCGGCTCTGCTCTCCCGCCACGTGCAGCTCAGGCCGGCAGGGCCCACAGCGGCCCCCGCAGGGAAGGCCCCGCGCACCAGGGAACAGCAGCTGAGCTCACCTGCCGGTCGCGTTGAGGGGGAGGCCGCTGAACTTGTTGTAGCCCTGAGGGGCGTAGTCCCAGAGCACCTTCTCGGCCGCGATGAAGTAGTGCCTCTGCTGGCCCTTCAGGGCCGGGTGGGAAGCGTGGCCTCTGCAGTGGCCCACGTTGTACTGGCCCAGCATGCCCGCTGCGGACAGAGCAGGGCCTGGGTGAGCCCGCAGGAGGGGCAGGACCCCGAGCACGTGTGGCTCGGGCTGTGGTTGCCCGTGAGCAGTGAAAAGCAAAGGTAAACGGTGGCCTTCCCACACACGAGGCCAGCTCCCCTCCCAGGACGAAACAGGCAGGGCCTCCGGGAAGAGACCCGAGGGGCATCTGTCTTTCTGCCTCAAATTTGCCTCACTCTGAAAACGTCCAGCTCTGTGCAACTGCCGCATCACAGCCCCTGGAGACCCCTCATTTCTTCTCATCGCCTCTGTCTGTTTACAGGGAGGTGGTCGGTAAATAAATACCTGCTCACGGGCGCCAGGTGAGCGGCGCCACCCCGTCCCTGCGTGTTCACTGTAATTGCTGTAACGCACTCAAGACGCGGCCAGCGGTCGGCGCGGAGCGAGCCCGTCCCGGCAGCCGCCCTGCCCTCCGCCCGGACCCCAGCCCGCTCACCTTGCAGGTGGTCGCTGACCTGGCAGGTGATCATCCACTTCCCAGGGTTCTGGACGATCATCTCCGCCGTGAGGAAGGTGGCGGGGAACAGGTTGACCACGTCCGTGCGGTGCCCCCTGCTGACGAAGGTGTTGCCGTAGAAGTAGATGGAGTGGATGTCGATCTCGTTCCCCATCCCGAACAGGTGCCAGGACACCGACTCGCCGACGCACATCTGGGGCTCGGGGAAGTTTCCGAACAGGTAGCCGTTGAGGGCTGAAAGCAGACACACGCTGGCACAGGCGCCTGCGGGGTCCGGGCGCGCGTCCCCCGGCGCGGCAGGGCCAGGGCGGCGGGTCGCCACGGCCTGTGAAGAGGCCTCGGTCCTCACAGAGGAGACAGCCCAGAACGGGCGGTGGGGCTTGGTCTTTCCAAGAGAAAAGCCCCCGACGGAGCGGAGGCCGGCAGGGACGTGGGGCAGCGTGGGGACGCGGACACGGGCGGAAACGGAGCCGCTGGGCCGACACCCTGCAGGCCGCCCCGGGGACTGCCGTGGGGACCCGTCCACGCATCTCACGGCCACCAGGACCCAGCGGAAGACCTGACGTCAGCGACCGGTAGCGGGAGGAGAAGAAAGGCCCCAGCAGAAGGGGAGTAGAGGGTGTGGTTTTGTTCTGACTTTTACGGAAGGGGACGGACTGTCCACCAGGCCCTGCTGGCTCAGACTTCCGGCTGGAGCTGCAGCGTCAGCCAAGACCCGAGGCCTCTGCCCCGTCTACACAGTGGTGTGACTTGGGCCAGTGCAGAAAAACGGGGTTTTAAAAAGTTATAATGTCCCTTCTCAATTTCAGACTGAGCGCGGAAGTGATTATGACTAAGATAAGAATGACTCAGGCGGCGCAACTGTTGGCGCCAATTTAGACGAACGCTCGGTTACGGGTGTTTCTCGAGCAGCTCCCGCAGACCAGTTGTCCTCGGGCCCTGGCTGCGTCGCTCCGCCAGCTGGGGCAGGCGTGGAGGCGCGAGAGGGCCGCTCTGAGCAGCCGGCGGCCCGGGGCACGCGGGGTGCTGGTGGGCGCACGCTGCCCCTTCCCACTCCAACCAGCAAGAGGAAGCAGGAGGCCAGCGCGGCCCCGACCGCCGCGCGAGGCGCTCCCGGGAGGGCGGAGGCCAACCCCTATCCGTCAGGGATAAACGTGAGCCGCTCACAGCGAGGAGCAGGGCTTGGGTCCGTACACGAGCCCGAAAGGAAACCCGTGCGCCACCCGCAGCGCAGCGCATCACAGCAGCCCAGGCGGGAAACAAGCCGCGTGCCCGCCAGACAGGGGGTCAGGGCCGGGCCTGTCTACGCAGGGGAGCGCTGCGCGCAGAGAACAGACGCGCGGCAGTCGCGCAGCCTGGGTGGCGCTGGCAGGGGTGGGGCTCGGAGGAACAAGACAATATCGGATGGTTTCACTCCCACGGGGAACACGGGGAAACCGAGCACGGGGCCGGGAGAAAGACAGAGCCTGCAGACCCACCCTGGGTCTGGGCGTCCCGCAGGGGAGGGGCGGGGGGGGCCACGACGGGGGAGGGGAGCAGGGCACGGTGGTGACGGTCACGGGGGCTGCGGTGGTGGTGGGAGAGCTACGGGGGCTACACTTGGGGCAACAACGATGTAAGAAAATAAACCTTAAAAAATTAGGTTTTATTTACGCTGCGCATCTCATCCCCCGCCCCCTCTCTCCTGAGCACGCGGTGCCGGAGCAGCACCCAGAGGAGATGCCCGGACACACGCAGAAATGGGGCCCTGGCGTCTGCACCCCAACACTGGGCTATGCAGCAGGGGCGCCCCACCGCCCCCACTCATAGCGCCCCCTCCCCGCGCCAGCCGCTCTGGCTGGACAGCACTTTGGCCTGAGGCAGGACACAGACCGGCGGCGCCCCAGCTCCGTCCCACGTGACGGCGCCTGCCGGCTGGGGGCAGCCACAAGGTGAGGCCGGTCAGCGGAGGACTCGGGCCTCGTGTGTGGTGGACACGATGGGGATTTTCCTTCTGCTCACCGGCGCGCCCCAGGAAAACTCGGGCGCGACCCCCTGCGAGCCCCACCCCCTGGACCCCGCAGACCGGGCGGGAGCCGCTGTCTGGCGACACGAGGACTCGGAGAGTCACCGCTTCCCGCGGCAGCATCTGGCACGCTGCCCTGTGCTCACTTGTCTGGGAAACACGTCGCATCTGGCTGCGTGTGGAAGCTACACACAGGGGACGATCTTTTGGGCCACTCGAAAGTGGGGACCAGCTAAAGCTAGAAGTTGCCATCGGGGGCTCTGCCCAGCATGGTGCTGTGCCCTTCTCACCTGCGCATAACCCCCGGCCCGAGGCGGGCCTCCCGAGCGTCCCCGCCGCCACACGCACCCCGTTTCTGTGCCCGGCTTTGTCCCTGGGTCACGCCCAGCGCAGCTCAGGCTACTGTCCTTCCGCAGGCGACCCGCACGCTCCCCGGCGCTCGCCCATCACGAGCTGCGGCCCGCGGGCGGCCGGCCCGACACTCACCGTGCATCTTGTTGCTCCTCTGGAAGACGGGGTCCTCCTTGTCCACGGAGGCGGGGTCGGTGCAGAAGTGCCGGATGTTGTCGTCCAGGTACCAGCTCTGGTTCTCGTCCACCAGCGTGAACATGATCACGAACTCGCGGTCCACGTCGGTCCTGGTCCCCGAGTACTTGTTCAGGACACCTGCGGGCACATTCGCGAGAGAACAGCCAGCGGGTGGCAGAGGCCGGGCCCGATGGAGGCGCCGGCTGCCCTCACGGGTCAGGAGGCCCACGTGTGAGTGGCCACAACACGCAGGGGCCTTGGTGGGGGGCGCACCGGGGCCCCAGGGCAGACGGCCCTGGCTCCGGGAAGCTGGCTGTCCCCGGGGAAGCCGCCCGGCGGGCGTGGATATGCCGGCTCCGTCCCCCGGGGACACAGTGGCTGAGGTCACGTGGTCAGAGGCTGAGCGGAGCGTCCCGGCCACCGGACCACGCTTCTCACCTCCCCGGGGCTTGGGCGGAAGGGTCGGGCCCTGCGGTGGCGCAGAGGAAGCCACTCCCGCCACCGCCCTGGCTCGCTGGTCTGAGCAAGAGCCCTGTGCAGCTTTCTGGCCACAGCAGCACCCCAGACTTCCAGGGGAGACCCGCACACGTGACATCCAAGCACCACCGGCATCACTCGTCCCTTCTCCCACCGTGGAGTCCAGCTCCGGCCGCAGGTGCCAGAGCTGCAGCGCAGGGTCACGGCGGGACGCCACCGGGGTGCCCCCACACCCCTCACGCTGGGACCCGGGACCCGTTGTTACCCCACGTGCTCGTTTCTGAGACGCGGGAGGCGCCCAGAGTCCCGGAGGCCCAGCCCATCGCGGGCAGCGTCACCCCACAGACAGCCCAGTGGGTCCTTCAGCTCACGGCTGCTCTGTGACCCCGTGGGGCCCGCGGGCTCCCCCAGGCACTGGCCGGCGACCTCACCTTCCTTGCACACCAGCAGCGGCCCAATCAGCCCCGAGCAGATGTCCTTGGGGGCGTCGATGTGCGAGTGGTACACCCAGGTCAGGCAGTTGGCGTCCGCGGGGGCCGGCGCGTACTCCTCCCTCACCGGCCACACGTACGTGTAGTTTTTGCCGGGGGGGACCATGTCGTCATCCTTGTTCCTTCCAGACGTGCCGTCAGGGTACAGGGCTCCTTCCAAGGCAAGCAGAGGGAAGTCGAAACCCGGCCGGGCCGGGGCCGCTGCGCTCCAGGCTCCCTTCCCGGGGGCTGAGGCTCCAGGCTCCCTCCGCCATGAGCCGAGGGGGTGTCGGGGAGACGCCAGCAAGGTCAGGGCCAGAGTCCAGGCCCTGGGAGGGGGGTCAGGGCCTTCGTCAGACCGGGCGGGGCAGCCGGGGCGGTGGCCATCCCGCCCTCCTGCTCCAGGCCGCCGGGCTCGGCAGTGACCATGGGCTGCAGCCAGGGCCCGGAGCCAGCGGTGCGGCGGCGTCCGCCGGGGCCTCCTGGTGCGCAGGAGCACAGCAGGTGTACAGGACACGCTTCCGAGAAACGCGTGTGTCTCCGAAGTCTGAGACAGTTAAAATAACCCGCAGGGACCAGGGGAGTCTGTGCTGCCGCGTCAGAGAGGCGGAGGCTGGGCAGGCCCTGGGGGATGCTCCCTCCTGACGGCGCCCTCCAGCCCCTCCTGGCGGGGCTCTCCACGTCGCGGCGGTCACCCAGCTCTACCTGCGCCGCTGCCGAGGAGGGAGGCGCTAGTGTGCCGCCCCTCTGTACGGGCGAGACTGAGAGGGCGGCAGGGAGGAAGGAGAGGAGACAGGGAGCCGGCCAGGGGGGCGCCCCTGCCGCGGTCCCACCCCTGCACCGGGCCAGCGGCCACCAGCTGCACCCACCTTCCGAGTCCTTGTTGTAGAAGACGCCGTGCGGGTGCAGGGAGTAGGGCCGGGAAGCGAAGTTCTTCAAGTGGATGACAATCACGTCCCCCACCTCCGCCCTCAGGATGGGGCCCAGAAACCCGAGCCAGGGGGGCTTGGGGATCTCCGTGGAGTAGGTGGCATCGGTGTAGTGTCTGTACACCGCCTTTTTGTAGAGGCCGCCTATCCGGTTGGGCCCCCTTTCAAGAAATAAGGTCGCGAGTCTGAAAGTGAGAAGGAACACGCGTCACCCTTGCAGTCCCGAGAGAGACCCCGGCGCTCACCTCAGCAGCTCACCAAGCTCGTGCGGGTGTGACGCCCCCGCGGCCCCCCAAGCCCTGTAACCCTGCAGCGCAGCGGGAACCTCAGTCCACCCATGAGGACGCCCAGGCTGAGGGCGCAGGGGGCGGGCGCAGCCTCCAGCAGGAACCCAAACTGAACCAACGACCCCCGGCCAGGACAGACGCACCCCACTTTTGCAACTGACGCATGTAGTATGCGCGTGCTGCATGCAGGGCTCTAGGCGCGGCGGAGAGACACGATTCATGTCCCAATAATGGTAGAACCGAGTGCAACGAGCAGTGGGCGCCAGGGTGCCAGGAGAGCAGCTGACGCCCCGCCCAGCCTCCAGGGGCCACGGCTCAGGGAACCCCGTGGCCGGCACCCCACGCAAAACACATGAGTGAAGGCAACTAGGGCTGGAGCAAGGTGGGAATGCGGCCGCCCAGAGCCAGCAGGAGCAGGAGGAGGCATGTTGGGGGGTGCCCAGGTCAGGAGGGGGAGCCCCGCCAGGAGGCAGGCAGGGAGGGCGCAGGCTGGGGAGGCAGGCGTGAGCGCCACCGGGGAAGGCGGGCGAGGAGCCGGGCAGCGCGACCTCGCAGGCTGGCACACGGGGCTTTCACGCACTGGGGACACGGCGGCGGCGGAGGTGAGGGCAGAGCCAGGGGCGTGTGTGGGGAGCGGGCACAGCCAGGAAGCGCGGGTGCGCGTGAGGACAGGAGTCCTGACACCGCTTGACCGGGGCCCCCAGCCGCCTGGGGCGTGGGAGGGCAGGACAGCAGCGCTGGGGGAGGGACAGCTGGGCAGGGTGGGTGCGCGGGGGGCCCGGAGATCTGGGGCTCGTGCTTTCGGCGCCGACCCAGACGGGCAGAGACGGCGAGCCTGGCGGGAAGACCCTGGCCGCGCCGCCCTGCTCGCCCGGCCCCCGCGATTCCAGGGCCGCGGCCGCGTTTCCTGCGAGGGTGTCCGGCCAGCGGGAGCAGCCGCGAGGAGCTGCGAGGACACGGGCACCGAGAGGGGCAGCGCCCGGCGACCCCCGCGGAGGAGCCGGCTTCCCACGGCCTCGCTCCCCTGCCTGCCCCCGTGCAGCCGAGCACCCCAGACCGCACAGGAGCAGCTCCCACGCAGCCCGCCCCGCCAGGCAAGTTATTGCAACAATTTTGCAAAGTCTGCGGGATGCAAGTGGAGGGAGGAGGAAGCGGAGCAGGCAGGGGGAGCTGCGCCCCCCACGCTGGCCGTGCAGCCCAAGCAGGCGGGTGCGGGCTCCGAGGGCGCGCAGGCCCTGGTGTCTGCTCGGGGCGCCTGACGCGGCGCTGGAGGGGGCAGTCACAGCCGCCGGGGAGGACGGGTACCTGAGCACACGCTCTGCCCTGGGCACCCTTGCACGCGTGCGCACAAGGACACACACGCGTGCACACAGGGCACACGCACGCACGCGTCCGCACGCAATCTGGGCAGCAGCTCCTCGCCAGGAGCAGCCCGCAGAGGTGGCACGGGGCGAGGGAGGCGCTCCCCCACAGGCTGCCTGCCGTGGCCCTGACGACACGCCTGGATGTGGGTCAGCCCGGCCTCCCACGCTGCAGTCACCGGAGGCACGAGGCTTCCTGGAGCCCGGCTCGCTGCCTGCCCACGAGCCACGGCGTGGGCGTCGTCAGGGCCCTGCCCAGCGCCAAGCTCCGCTCCGCTCCCCTGGAGCAGACAAGGGCAGCGCACGGCCTGGGCATGCTCTCCGGGCTCCGCGTCCTGTGCTCCAGCCGGGGGCCAGCGCCCCCCAGGCCACCGCGAGGCCCCAGCCGCCGGCTCCACATTCCCCCAGCGTGCGCGCGCGGGAACCGCCAGGCACCAGCGCCGCGGGAGCCCCGGGCCACAGCAGCCACCGGGAGAGCGGGGGCCGGGCGCGCTCGAGTACGAGCAGCTGCCTCTTTGGTGTCTGCCGGGCGGCCACCCCGGCTCCTGACCCTTTCTGGCAGCCGGAGAGGCGCCCGCCCCGCCCCGCTGCGGGTCTTAGCCGGGAAACAGAGCGAGGGTGCCCCGGGGCGCCGAGCAGCAGCCCCCAGCGGCCTGGACGCTCCCCGCGGCCTCTGTGGGCGGCCATGGCCCAGCGCGCACCCACGGCCTCCAGCCACCCCAGCCACGTGCTAGCGCCGCCCGAGCCAGGAGGTGTCTGTTTCCTGGGGAGGTGCCAGCGGGCTGGGGAGTCCCCCTCACCTGCTTAAAAGACAAAACGGGGGTGCAGGAGGCCGTGATGCCAAGGCCGGGTGGCCATGGGAGGGGACAACTTCGAGGTCCGGCCTGTTGAGCCCCGCCATGGAGCCGAGGGGGCCCCGAGGGCTCACGCGGAGTGCACCTCACCACCCCCACCCTGGAGCGCGAAGGGTCCCCTCACCCCCTACCCCGGAGGACCAGGCTGTGGAGCCGGGGAGGGCGCGGGGCGGGGGCTCAGCCGGGGAGACGAGGCGCGCGCCGGGCCGGCCAGCAGCACTGTCCACGCGGGGCCCACCCTCCGCCTGGGGAGCGCGCAGGGGAGGCAGCGCGCAGGGCAGTGGCAGGACGGGCCCCTGCACCAGGAGGGCGCAGGACGGACGGGCACCGCTGGCACCGCTGGCAGGGAGGGCGGGGACGCGCGTGGATGTCTCGCCCGGCGCCGCCACGCCCTCCCTAATTGAATTAATGGTTTTTAAAGCCGGCCATGCAGGCCCCGCCCCGGCCAGCGCCTGCCCGGCTCCCCCTTCACCGCCCAGGCTCGGGCAGGTCAGCTGGGGCGCGGGGAGGAGCCAGGACCCGCCCCCTCTCCCCGGTCAGGACGCCCCCAGACCCTCGGGGCGGGGCGCCAGGTCCCCGGCTCCTGCTGTCCAGCCGGCCTGTGCTGGGCAGGGGCCCATGGCAGGCAGACTGGAGCCCCCAGGGCTGGGCTCTGTCTAGAACTGGGGGTGCAGTCCGTTCTGCAAAGCTCTGAGTGGAAGGAGGAACCCCCACCCCAGTGGGCCTTCCCAGAGGCCAGAGACCCCGAGTCGGGCCTCCACACCCACACGGGGTCACAGACCTGGGCCTCCAGGCCCCTAACTGGAGACAGGGTCCCTACAGGCAAGAAGAGGGGAAGGCCTCTGAGACCAGGAGAATTTCTGGGGTGGCCTGGGGGGACGGGGAGGGGCCCACAAGCCACCGAAAGTGTCCTTCAAAGGGAGAAGCCGTGGGAAGGTGGAGACAGGTGGGGGCCACAGCCCAGCGGCCAGGGAGGCGCAGGGCACGTGTGGCCTGTGGAGCTGAGAACCTGGCGCTGACGTCTGAGAACCCCGAGTTGTGACCGTCAGTCACAGCAGCGCCGGACCCTCACGCGGCCTGAAGCCGGCCGTTCTCCCCACTGCCAAGGCAGGGGCAGGAGCTCTGGGCTTGCCTGGGACACCAGAGACCCACGCCGCCGCGAGCCAGGCCTCCGTCCCCCCCAGCCCCCGGCCCCCGGCCCCCGGCCCCCCGCCTGCTGGTGCCCTCCGTGCCTGCCGCGCGGTGAGGCCCGAGACAGCGGCCCAGTACGTCGTGCCCGAGTCTCCCCAGCCCACATCCAGGCCTGTCTCTGCAGGTGGGCGGGAGAGGGGGCTCCCCCGAGAGAGCCCCAAACCTCAGCTTCCTCCGCGGGCAGAGCTGTGGCCTGTTACACTCTCGCCAAGCGGAGGCACCACCGGCTGCCGCGGATTCCCGGGACCAGGCTCTGCCCGCCGGCCCGCCTCGCCGCCCTCACAGGCCCTGCCCGCCTCACCTGGCCGCCCAGGCTCCTCACGCTCCCCAGCCCTGGCGCCACCCTCTGTCCTCCTGGGTTTGGCGGGCTCCCCTGGCCGCGACCACAGGGGCCCTGACTCGCTTCACTGTCACCGGCCCGAGCTCGGTGCCCGGGCGCCAGAGCCGGGAGGGCAGCGGAGCCACCTGGCCTCCCCGCCCTGGCGGCACAGCAGGGCCGGGGAGCCGGGCGCGCTGGGCTCAGGGTGTCCGTGGAGAGCTCTGGGCCTCGGGGAGGGCCCGGCCAGAGTTCTCAGAGGCAGGGAAGTGGACAGAGGCAAACGCAGGCTCTTTCAAGAACTGCCCTCGGACCCCTTCCCAGCCCGGCCTCCTCCAGCCCCTGCTCTGCACACGGCACCCCCCTCGCTCCTTCCGCAGGAAGAGGTCGAGACGCAGCCGTCAGGTGCCGCCCTCTCTCCGTCTGGGGGCTCGCTCCTGCGGCTGGGGGGCGCCTGCCACACGGCCTGGGGCGCCGGCGCGGGAGCACGGTGCGCGCCTCGAGGCCCGACGGTCCCCAAACCGCGGCCACAGTCCAAGATGCTGCCCTTGCCAGGAAACGCGTGAGCACGTGGGGAGTTGCACCCACGCTCCCCAGTATCCCTCGGTACCCCCCAGTGTCCCCCAGTGCCCCCCGGCCCCCCGCAGCGACCCCCGCCCCCCACCGCTACGGCCTGTGGCATGGTGCCTGTGTCCGTGGCGCAAGCCAGGTCAGCACCCACCCGGCACCCCTCGGGGCTTGCCCAGCGCCCCCTGCAGCCACTCGGCCAGAGCAGGAGCAGCTCGAGGTTCCTCATGCCTGCAGGGAGCCGGGACCGGGGTGCCAGGGGTGCTGCCCGAGGGCCTCGCTCCACGGCCCTGCCCCAGCACCTCCCGGTCACCTCTCCTCCTAGGACACGGGGCCTGCTCCAGGCAGGGCTGGCCAGGCCTGCGGGGGCACCCGACCCGCGGCTCCCGGACTCCCCTGGCTTGGACACCGACTCGGCCGGTCAGTGCCTCCTAGAGGAGTGACCGAGCCACCCTAAGCTGCCTTTGCTAAGAAGTGGGACTTTCCAGAACGTTCCTGTTGCTGGGGCTGCCTCCCCTCAACGCTGAGCTTGACTCCACGGGACAGGGTCACCCGTGCCAGAAGCAGGCCGTGTGGGGGCAGGAAACGTGGGCTCTGGGGCGGGCCAGTGAGCCGCTGAGGCCTGCGCCCTGGGACGGGTGCCCCAGAGCCAGCTCCTGGTGGGAGGCGGGCAGCACCTGCAGCCGCGGGAGCAGCGCCTCTGGGAGGGCCTGGGTGGGGCAGACGCCCTCCGACGGCGCCCCTGGTGCGAGCACCCGAGGGACAGAGCCCTGAGTCTCCCTCCAGCACACGGACAAGCCGGCCCCGGGGACTCCCAGGCCTGGTTGCCAGGACGCCCCGAGGTCTTCCCGGGCCTGTGCCGGTGGCTGCCCGGCGTCCCTGAGCCTTTGAGCCCTTCTGAGGAGAGCAGGCCTGGCTCTGGGAGGCGGGCGGAGTGGGGCCCCTCCAGCCCCAGGCACCGGCGCGGGTGCGTGCGAGGGAGGGTGAGGGGGGCCCCGCTGTCCCTGGAAGCAGCCCTGGACGGGCCCTTTCCTGGAACCACGGTTCTGGCGACGCCACCTGGGCAGCCTGCGGGCGCTGCCCTTCCTCAGCACAGCAGCCTGCCCGCGCCACCCCGCGTGGCTGGAAAGCTGGAGGCCGCGTGGCCAAGGGGGCCGTCCCTCCCTCTGGCCTGGCGGGTCTGGCCCCGGGGGCGCGGGCAGACCCCGTGCTGCCGGGAAGGGCAGCGGCCCTGTCTTTAGAAGGTGGCAGCTGAAGCGCAGGCTCTCCCTGCCTGAAAAGCAGCTGGCACCCGAGGGCCCGCCGGGCCTGCCAGGACGCTTCCCGGGATGTTCTAAGAACAAAGCTGAGGTGCAACCGAGTCGGAGCCAGCAGAGGTCGGGGGAGCCCCAGGGGACGAGTCAGATCCAGAGGATCCTGGCTCCTGAGGGGGGCGGGGAAGGTGCTGCTTCCTGCAAACCCAGGAAAGCCAGGGAGGGGCCCGGCGCCAGCACCTCGCCCTCGGCCGCCAACAGGGACCTGCCCGGGGTCGGAAGGGGGGGCCGCCCCCTTCGAGGAGGGCTCCCGGGAGCGCTGAAGAGCCCCACTTCCTGAGCAGCGCAGGCCGGGGACCAGCGGCGCCTTCGCCTCAGAGGGTTCGTTCCAGACCACAGACTTGTTTCGCGAAACCGCTGAACCCTCACCGGGGCTCCCAGCGCCCGTCGGAAAGCCGCCACCTGGACACGGCCCTCGGCCGTCCCGCCGGCCGCCGGCCCCCCTCCCGGAGCCCCCCGCGGGCCCAGGCGCCCTCACCACCCGCCGCGACCCCGGGGCTCGGGCTCGTCCCACGCGCCACGCGCCAGGGCTCCCCGGGCAGGGGCCCCGCGAGCACCAGCCCCCCCTTCTGGATGCAGCCTCCCGACCACAGCCAGAGGCAGGCGAGCCGGGGCGTCTCCGGGGACCCCGTTCACTCACTTGTCCTCCGAGAAGCTTCTCCCGGTGATGACGTTCTTGCCTTGGGGCACATAGTCCCAGTACTCCTCCCCGATGCCGATGTGGTAGGTCCTGGTGGCTGCGCCCGCCGGCCCCGCCGGCCCCAGGAGAGCCAGGAGCAGGGTGCAGGCAGCCAGCCGCGCGCGAGGCATTTGTGGATGTGAGCAGAGCCGCGGCGCAGCGGCCTCCCCCGCCCAGCTGTTATGAGGGAGGCGTGGCGCCCGGCTCCTCCTCCCGGGGTGCCGGGGTTGGGACCCAGGCCGCCGCTGTGCGCGCAGAGGGGCGCGGGGGCATTGGGGGGGGGGCGCCAGGTGCAGCGCGCGGCCAGCGCCGGGGAGCCTCGGCCGTCCACCCTCTGCCTGGCCGCGGCCTGTTTCTCTGCGCTCCGGGGCTCTGCTGGCAGCGGTCACTCACCCTCGCCGGGAGCGGAGGGGCAGCCGGGCCGAGGGGCGCCCCTCCCCCTCCACACCCGTTCCAGGAACACACGAAGCCGGGCGCCTGGTGGGGCATCGGGGACGAGGAGGGCAGAGGCTGACTCATCGCCATCACCGTCGCCGGCTTGTTTTATAAGGCGACATGAAACCATCCCCAGCATCGTAAAGTCCTGAGAACATCGTGAAACCTCGCCCGTTCCCCATTTGCTCATCGCCAGCTCCCCCAAATTCTCGGCAGCCCCACCGGCAAAGAGGAGGCTCTCCCCCGTCCGTGCAGGCAAAAGCCCAGAGGCCGGCACCCCCGAGAGGGCGCGCCCGACTCAGCCGAATCAGATAAGGGAGGCGCCGCCGCCGGGCGCAGGAAGCCGCGCTGGCAGGCCCCGGGTCAGCGGGCGAGGGCGGGGGCCGCTGCCCAGGCCTGACCTAGAATGCGGCTGCCTGGCCTGTCCCGCCCGGGAGAGCGCCAGCCCCTCCCGTCGTGGAGCAGCTCCCGGGGGACCCGGCTCCCCGCCTTCTGCGGCCCCCCGAGCGCACAAGAACCATCTGCCCCCGAGCCGGGGTCTGCGGGCCGGGCCGGACGGGCGCGGTGAAGACCCACGCGTGGATCCTCCGCTCTGCGAAGACGACGGCAGCGAGGACGCGCAGCCACGGCCGGGAGAGGCCTGCGGGACGCGGGGCAGCGCCGTCCAGGGCGCACCGGGCGCTCCCGCAGCCCGAGAGGACACAAGCAACCGGGTCGGAAGGGCCGAACCCTCGACGCACGCACAGGAGGCAGGTGGCGAGCCCGGGAGACGGCTCCACGCACCTCAACGCCAGGGCAACGCACGTGCGACACCGGAGACGCCACCCTCGCCCGCCCTGGGGCCCGGGACAGCCCCTGCCGCGGCCTCGGGGCTGCCCTGCGAAGGGGGCGCGCTGTGCACGGCACTGGGGCGGCTGGTGCTGCGATTCCGTGTCAGTGTAAAGGCGCCGTCACGCAGGGCTCAGCGCCACGCTCTTTGGCTCTACCCAGAGCCTAGACGCCCGCGGTACCGCTCACTGGCCAGACCTGGGGCGGCCTGACCGCGGCCCAGCAGACCGGGGGGTATTGCTCAGCACTGAAAAGAGAAGCCCCCCTAGGGGCCTGCGATGACCTGGCTGGGCGGGGGCCCCTCTGGGAAGGCTCCGGGCTCCACTGGTGTCACGTTCTGGAAAAGGCAAAACTTTGGGGACCGTCAAAATATTGAGGGGGTGGGAGGCTGAGTGGGCAGCCCACGGGGGCTATTTCGAGCAGCGAGGCTGCTCCGTGGGGCTGTGAGGGCAGTGAGGTGCCGCTGCCATCTGCCCAGACCCCCGGGTGGACAAGAGCAGCGTGAGTGTCCGGCGCCGTGGCCCGGGGCTTGGCGGGGTGCTCACGTGGGCGGGGTCCCCGGGAGGGTCGCCCCCTGCTCGGCGCTGCTGTGCACCTACGAGAAAGACGCCTGCCAAGGCCCCCGCCAGGCGGAGCAGATAGAGGTCAGCCGCAGCCTGTGGGCTGTGGACGGGCCTGGATGGACGCAGCCTCCCTGCCCAGCACGCGCCGCCCGCACCCAGAGCCCGGCTCTTGACGCCCCTGGTCCTGGAGGGGCATCGCCTGGGCCGGACGCGGCCCCTCACTGTGACTGCGGAAGCTTCGTGTGAGCTTGGCAGCTGCCATGGAGGCGCGAGCCTGAGGCCTTCGAGAGCTCCTAGAACCCGGAGACGTGCAGACCCGCGGCTCGCGGACACCTCAGGGCCCAGGAGGAGCCGCGTGGCCGAGGGCCGGGCGGCACGGGGCAGGGGCTGCAGCGGACGCTGAGCACCGTGGACACTGAGCACAGCCTCTGAGGAAGGGGCAGCCGGGGACTCAAAACCAGGCGCGGGAGCGGGAGGAGCACCGCGGCCGGCAGGGGGTCGGGGCCCCACGGCTGGGCACGTGGCTGCTGAGGAGGACACGCCAGCGGCTTTGGCGCCTCTGAGCCTTCCTCACGCCAGGCCGAGCAGGGTGCTGGCCGTGGGCACCCCGGCTCCCCCGAGCCAGGGGGAGAGAGACGGGGTGGGGAGCAGGCCCCCGCCACGCTTCCGAACCGCAGCGGAGCCGGGCGGCCCGGACGGCGAGGCCGGGGTCTGGGCGGTGACCGGCCTGAGCGATCCTGTCAGCGTCCCGGGACGGGGTCCCAGGAGCCCCACACCCACAGCCCCAGGCCGGGGGCACCCCAGCCCCCCTCCACACCCACCAGGCAGAGACCGAGTCACGGGGAGGGTCCCCTTGGGGCAAATCGCATTTCTCTGAAACAGGCGATTCGACTTTTAGTGGGGAAGCCCACTCAGACCCATGGCATCCGCGCCCCGCCGGGCGTCGCTGTACGTGGTAAATAAAGAGCAAATGACAGGATTGGCTGCTGCACTCTTTGGCTTTTGTGCGTGTTTTATGGGAAACATCAAGTGCTCATTAAAAGATTCTTGATATCCCGAACTCTGACCAAAAGTCCCCTCTCCCCACCCACGCGAGCGGCTGGCCACCCCCGTCCCCACGGGCACCCCAGTTCCTCAGGCGCCTGTCCTTCCTCCCCAGGAGCCGCACGGCCGCCTCCCGCCCTCCCTCCTGGCACAGGCAGGACCTGCTCCCTCTGCGGCCCAAGGGCCCGGCTGTCGGGGGGCCCCGGCCCCTCCAGCCCGGCCGCCAGCCCGGGCCAAGTCTTCATCATCCCAGGAACTTGAAGCCACCCAGATTCCTGCCTGCTTCCTCCTGCCCTTCACACCCCAGCCCTCCGCCCACTAAATTCCTCCCGAGTCCTTCCTGCAGAGTCCTAGGCCGGCCTCTCAGAAGCCTTCCTGGGTTCTTGCCGCACCCGCCACGCCTGCCTCCCCGCCCCGCGCCCGCCCCGCGGCCTGTCCGTGCTGGCGGAGCCCCGGGCACATGCCCAGCCCGTGCTGCTGCCCCTGAGCCCCCCAGCCACACAGACACTGTCATATACACAGACACACACGCTTGCGGCCCCTCCTGGCTGGGGCTCCGCCTCCCCCGGTCTCCCGCCCCTGCCATCCCCCCTTCGCGTGTCCTGAGCAGGTGCCCAGGCCTCCAGCCCCTCCTGCCTTGCCAGCACGCCGGGGGCTGGGGCCCAGGCCTCATCCTCGTCAGGACAGGGGTGTGCGCGGGGTAGGGGCCGGGCGAGGAGACGCAGGAACCCCAGGCGTGCCCGGCTCCCTCGAGCAGCCCCCCACCACGCCTCACTCCGCAGCCCCAGCATGGCGAGTGGCCGCCCTGTCCTGGCTGGCAGGTGGGGAACGAGGAGCAGCAGGCCCTGCCCGACACCCGGGGCTGGGAGACCGCGGCCGGGCCCAGGCCAAAGCGTGGGCGCCACAGTCCACCGACGGCTCGCAGGACGGCAGGGGCCGGCCCGGACAGCCACAGTCAGGGAGGAAGCATCCGCCCGGCGGGAGCTCCTCGGACATAAACGTGGCCTGAGTCGAGAGGGAGCAGCCTGGAGGGTGCACGGGGGACACCACACCCCACGCCGGGCGCGATGTTCCCTTGACGGTGTGAAACACCTGCCACCGCCGGTTCTAGTCCTCCGAGGAGCGCGGGAGCCTGCCCCGGGGAGCTGACGTTTAGGGCCCCGGCGGGGACGGCCAGCGAGGCTGGACACAGCCACGAGACATGGACCGGACCCCGTGCAGCTCGGTGAGCTTCTGGCGGGCGTGTGAGGGTGACTCGCACGGCCGCTCACAGCACACTTTGTAGGGGCGCGAGGGGACCCAAGCCCCGTCCCCGCTGCCCGCTCGCTGCCCGTGGGCAGAGCCTGAGCTCCTCAAGGGGCCCAGGCCCCGCCTTGCCCCGCCCTGCCCCTCGGATCTTGTCTGCCCCCTTCACTCTCCTCCCAGCAATGCAGCCCCGGGGTCCCCAGGTGTTGGGCCCCCCAGGCTCAGGAGGGCTCCCGGGCGTGCGAGGGTGCCAGGGGCCAGCGGGCAGCGGGGGCTGGCACTGACCCGCAGCAGCCCCGCAGTTCTGCAGAGCAAACCCTGGGCCTGCCACCTGGCAGGTCACTCCCGGAGGGGTCCAGAGCCGCCTCCCGAGCAGGCCGGGGCCAGGGACAGCCGGCGTGGGCCTCCCGGTCCAGAGCGCGTGGGGGAGGTGCACGGCGTGCGCTAGTGTGTGGGTGTGCGTGTGCAAGTCTCTGTGGGCATGTGGGGCTGTGTGGCTGTGAGTGCAGGAGAGCGTGAGCGTCCGTGCACGTGTGTGTCTGTGTATATGACAGTGTCCGTGTGCGTGTGGCGAGGGTGTTGGAGGGGAGGGGACAGCCCAGCACTGTGCTCTGGACACGGCCCCACGGCACGTCGCCGGTGACCATCCTAGACCCTCTCGGGAGACCCCCTGCTCCTCACTCACTCGGGGCCCCCGGAGGAAGAGCCGTGGGTCCCAGAGACCCCCCATCTGCCCCTGACCCGGCCCGGCTCGCCTTCCATCAGCTCTCCCCAGTCTGGGGCCCCTCTGGGGTCTCGCCTCGTCCCGACGACACCGGCCACGCGAGAGGCAGCGGCGCTGTCAGGGAGCACAGGGCGGGAATCGCAGCTTCTCCAAACCCCAGGCCCTGAGAGCTTTTGGGGCTCCCCGTGGGGTCCCAGCTCAGAAACCCGGCAGTGGCTGACAGCCGCGCCTGTGACAGAACCGCAGGGCTCCGGGCGGGCCCCGGGGGGCCTGTGTGCCTGGAGCTCCCAGA